GGGTTGATGGGGCTTGGGGCAAGAGAACTAGGAAGTGCTACCACTTGTAGCATTGCGGGAGGAAGCGTAGGTAGTTGAGGGCAAAATGCACAATGAATTAACTGAGGATCTACTGAGATCTCCTTTGTCCTCATCCCTATGAATCTTCTTCGTCTACTTCACTACTTCTGCGCTAATACAGTATGTACTAATGGATGCACAGTATGTACTAATGGATGCGGGTGCGGTTGAGACCTTGGGGACTTCACTAGGCTAGCGATTCTATACCATACATGCCCTTGAGCCACATCCCCAAGCAAGCATTAGCTTGGGTGCGTCATGAGCCAGGCAACTAGGAGCTGGGTGTGGACAAGGTGGTGGCAAGGCGTCACCCCACCTGCCAAATTGCTACACACTGTGCCCCAGATGCTACTCGTCGTCATAACGTTTTCACAAGTGGACCAACTGAACATCACCATCGCAACAGGAATCACGCAAGCCACGATCTTTCTCCTCGCGATGCCACTTGCCGTGCACGTCGTCGGCGACACCAACCTCGGCATGTTTACAGCAGTGCGATGAACTCGTGTCTGGGACAAACCTTCAACTAAACGTTACCTCTGTCTTGGTGCAGACGTCCATGGGGTATGCACTGTCACCTGTGACCCTCTGTCTAGACGCACCGCTCATCGATCTTCTGGACAAACCTGGCGCCACTGTGTAATCAAGCGCCATCGACCCCAAGGCTGCGCCAAGCTCTACGAATCACCTCCACGTAAACCGTTTATTCGATCGCATCATCAAGTTGGCTGGTGTAGACAAGCAGCTTACCTCCCACTCGTTCCGTCGTGGCGGCGCGCAGAATGAGAACGCTGTTGAACACCTTTCCTCTCGGTGGATATTCGATCGCGGCGCTTGGAATGTCAGTGCTACGATCAAGGGGTTTAACTATGTGTTTAACACGTCGCAAGAAAATCATAAAGTCGCAAAGGCCTTGAGCGGCTGGGCGCCAACAGACACCGTCAAACTTACGAGCCTATCAACGTTTGATGTCCGCACGAAAGAGCAAATCGACGCCGTGCTGGTGCGAGTCTTCTCATCTTGCAATGGCCTCGGTACAGCAATGTACTACGTGAGTATGTCAGTGCTGAGTGTCCTTATGGATTACATCATACTACACTACCCGATGTTGAAGCATTAAGCTGTTCCTCGAGCATGGCTTCGTATTAGACGCCACATCGCCAACCTATCGCGATGACGTCATTGCC